AAGAACGACCATTAACCCAATCAACTATTTAAAAATTTGTTTGCCTACATAACTGCACGCTGGACTGGAAGTCAAAAGGACATCTTCCGGTGTGTGCACATTGATACAGTTTTTTTTTGGGGGGGGGAGATAAATACTCTGAAATAAACTTCAGAACCTCTGTTAGACGTTACTGGCCACGGTCGGTCGATCTAGATGCAAACGCACAGGAAACTTAAGATATACTTAGTAACTAGAATGCAGGACAGAATCATAAGGCGGATATACAGATAGCTAATAAACCGATGTAGACTTTGAGGCCCTCATAGCGTGGTTATGAGGTTACAGTGCCGTGCAGTCCGTTGAAAGTCAGTGGACATTTCGGAGGAACATATCACCTCCATCTTCAGGGTCGAAGAAGGAGCCGAACAAGACGCCAGCGTGAAAGCAGGTGGCCAGCAGAGCTCACTGCATGACGTTATGTCCCAGAAGGTAATTAGTTACTCTTCAGCTAATCGATCCTTCAAAACTGTAGGAAAAGTTCAGATATTTAAGAACGACAGTGACAATCAGAATTACATTCGAGAACGAATTAGAGCAGAATAAATTCCTTGACTGATTGCCACCGTTCAGATAACGGCATCAGCGTTTTGTTCAAATTTAAAAAGGTATAGTTTAAAATACTTGCATCATGTTACGTGTAATTTTGTATGCTTCATAAATTGTACTCTTCTCGAAGTATAATTAGAATGATCAAGTCAAGAAGTATGAGGTCGACAGGGCATATAGCACGAACGGGGGAGAAGAGGAATGCATGTAGGATATTTGTGGGAAAGCCAGAAGGAAAAAGACCACTGGGAAGGCCAAGGCGTAGGTAGGTGGACAGTATTCAAATGTGTCTTAGCGAGATAGGCTGGGATGGTGCGGATTGGATTTACCTGGTTCAGGATAGGGTCCCGTGGAGGGCTCTTATGAACTCGGTAATGAAATTTCGGGTTCCATAAAATTCTTGGAATTTCTTGAGTAGCTGCAAAATTGGCGGCTCCTCAAGAAGGGCTGAGCTCCATGAGTAAGTAAGTAATTCTGTATGGGCGTGAAACCTGGTGGAAGAACATAGACTGCGGGCGGGTGTTTTGGAAGGGGACAGTTGACAGGCCTATCTTGTACAGCCAGTGCTGCGGATGTCGATGGCCAGGGAGGTTGCAACGGGTAAATGGGAAAGTTTCATAGCGATGATCTTCGTAATTTGTAGGCTCTTTACAAATTATGTTATTTATTATTATGATGATCAAATTAAAGAAGATAAGATTGGCGGGACATATAGCTCGAATGGGAGAGATGAGATTTGATACAGAATTTTAATCGGAAACCCTAAAGGGAAGAGACCAGTTGTGGTATTAGAATGATGGAAGAATAAAAGACTGTAAGACTAGATATTAAAGAAACTGGAAGTAATAATACGAAGATAAGGTTTAGCGGCCGGCTGTTTTCAACACAATAATGAACCTTCAAAACCCATAAATTGTGGGGAATATCATAACTAGTTGAGTGACTCTTAAGCTTTTTAACAAAGAATGTACTGCATGGAATTATCAATTAACGTAAATAGCAGACCTTTATATTCCCTCTACATGAAAGTTTCAGACATGAAAATTTTTCTCTATAGTAATGGTTATACTTTTTGCCATGACAGATATGTAGGTACCTGTATGCTCAATCGTCATGTCAGATCTCATTCATTGCAGTTACGGTTCCCTTGTTCTGGCAACCAGACCCTGAGATTGCCGACCTTTTCTTTGTAAAGTTCGCCTGCTTAATAATAATAATAATAATAATAATAATAATAATAATGACCTTTCAAATAACTTTATCACACAGTATTTCAG